TTTAGGGTTTAGGGTAGTTCTCTAAAATAGGGTCCCTTTTTAGGTCCCCAATACAGTAATAATAATGACGCTAACAAGGACCAAAATTTCGAAAACACCCAAAGGTTGTGGGGATTTAGTAGGATTTGGGGGTTCGGGTGTTAGGGTTAGGGTTTTAGGGTTTAGGGTTTTGGGTTTTAGGGTTTGGGATTTAGGGTTTAGGATTTTGGGGCTTGGGGTTGTAGGGTTTGGGAATTCAGGGCTTGGCCAAAAGCCCTAAACCCTGGACCCTGAGCCCGAAACCGTAAACCCTGAACCCTAAAGTCTAAACCCTGAGCCCAAAACACAAGACCCCGAACCCTAAACCCGAAACCTTGAACCCTAAACCCGAAACCCTGAACCCGAAACCCTAAACCTACCCTGAACCCAAAACCCCTAAACCCTAAACCCTAAACCCTAAACCCTAAACCCTAAACCCTAAACCCTAAACCCTAACCCCCTGAGACCCTGAACCACGCTTTTTCACCACTCTTCGAGCGTCCGCGCGGTCCACGACGCCGGAAGCGTCGCCGTCCTCCTAAAGGCCGACTTCGGCCCCATACCCGGAATACTAAACAAGCTCTCTTTAGGGGTTCTTTAGGGTTTAGGGTTTAGGGTTTAGGGTTTAGGGGTTAGGGTTTAGGGTTTAGGGTTTAGGGTTTAGGGTTTAGGGCTTTTAGGGGCTCCAGTGGCTTTAAGGGCTTGAGGGCTCATTTTAGAGTTTAGGGTTTCGGGTCTAGGGTCTTAAAGGTTTTGAGCCCTGATATATAGGAGCTTATATAGGGATCCTACCCAAACTGTAGGCTTTGGTAGGTAATATATAAGAACTTAAATAGGGAATCCAGCAAGACTGTAGGTTTTGGTAGGTTCAGGTATGACCTGTTCTTGAGGCCCGTTTTCTACACGAACTTCTGCAGTGAAAGCCCAGAGACTCCAGCAGCTTCAGGTTTGAATCTTCAGCCTTTCTCTGGCTTACCGCTTGCATGCTTTAATGGGTATGTATAGTGTTTATATGTACATATATGTACATAAATATATATATATATATATATGTATATATCTATTTCCCCTCCAAACCCTAAACCCCAAACCCTGTCTATATACATATATATATATATGTGTATATATATATATATATATGTATATATATATATATATACGCGTGAAGTTAAACTATAAAAAACTAACGACTGCGGTCTCCGTTCATTTCGTCGATGGCACTCACGATGCGCATGTGGCCGTAACGAACCTGGGCTGAAGGCTCATTTTAGGGTTAGGGTTTCGAGTTCCGGGATCCCTACACCCTAAACCCCTAAACTCTAAACCTTAAGTCCTAACCCCTAAACTGAAGGTTTAGTTCAGGGCTCCCCAAACCCTAAGCCCCTAAATCCTAAACCGTGGAGGGCCATAGGAGTTGAAGCTGCGACATTCGAAAGTTGCCGAGTTAGTTCAGCGCTTAGGGCTCGGATGGGCTCGGGTTTTGTATAGCTCTTGGGATTGAAGGCTTCAGGGATTTCTGGGCTTAGGTTGGTGTTTGAAGGTTTGGGGGCTTTTAGGGCCAGTCGAGGTGATAGGCTTGGGGGTTTCAGGGCTCAAAACCCCCAAGCCCTAAACCCCTAAACACTAAACCCCTAAACCCCTGAACCCTAACCCTTAAACCCTTAACCCCCCACCCCTGAACCCTAAACCCTAAACCCTGAACCCCAAACCCCAAACCCCAAACCCCTAAAGCCTAACCCCTAAACCGCTAAACCCTACACCCCTAAACCCTAAACCTGAGGTCTTGGCGTGAAGGTTCAGGGCCCTGGCAGCAAAAAGCCCCGGCACAGGTTGCCACAATCGTGCACCCCAATCCTGCACCGACAACCTGAACATAAAAATCCCTAATGTAGGGGCCATAATAATTGGAACAGGATTTTTTTGGCTTCCTTAATGAGGTTGTAGTATCATATACCCCCCAAGCCCTGTTCTAATTACTAAGGCCCTCCGTATATTATGCCGTGAACCCCTTAACGCATGACCCTTAAACTGCCCGTAAACATTGCGCACCAAACCTTCAACTCTCACTCCATGCCCAAATCCGGGGGTTGGTTTTGTAAAACCGAATTGTGGTTGGTTTTGCAAAAATGAATTATAAAGTTCTACCACCAAGCTCTGGGTTTAGGTTTCTTCACGGTGGGTTCAGTACATTTGGGCTTCCGGCGTGGCTCCGGTGCTTCTTTAGGGTGTTGGGTGTTTTTTGGGTTTGGGTTTCTAAGGTTTCATGGTTTAGGGATGTTTTGGACTTAATGGTTGGGGTTTAAGGTCTAGGGCTTTAAGGTTTAGGGTCTGTAGGGCTTTAGGGCTTGGGTATATGGTTTGTCCAGGTGGCAGCGATGTCTCGCGCACTCCAGCCCACACCTCCGTGAAGGACAGCTTGAGGCCGGTATTGTAGGGGTCTTATAATGACGCCTGTAACCCCCTAAACCCGAAACCCTAAACCCTACACCCTAAACTCTAAACCCTGAACCCACTAGACCACAACATGCCATAAATCCCCACTCGGCTTGCTGAGGTCCCTATCGTATGCGCTGGAGGGCTGAGGGTTCGGGGTTTTCTGAAAGACCCCTGATAAACGGACTTCTATGGTTAGTTCTCTAAATTAGGGCCCTTTTCAGGTCCCCAATATAGTATGGCACCCTTATGAAACAGACCCTAAAAAGGACCCTAATTTACAGAAGCACTCATATGGGATTATAAGAGTTTCACAGGTTGATAGGGTGTTAATTACAGGCTCCTACGGTGTCGCAGTCCTAAGGGTTTAGGGTTTAGGGTTTAGGGTTTAGGTTTGAGGGTTTAGGGTTTAGGCATAAACTCGACAGGTTACCTTCAAGGCCTTTGTCGTGCAGCTAACACCGCGCATGACACATATGCTCAGTAGTCGGGCCGAGCTTGCGCCGCTGGTCATATGCCACCAGAAGTACACTCCTGGCCTAAACTAGACGAACATGATACCACCAGCAGGACAAACCTAAATCTCCAAACCTGAAGAACCTTATCATTCAATCCCGAAACCCTAAACCCTAAACCCGAAACCCTAAACCCTAATCCTGAAAGTAGACAGGGGCGCTGTAGGGGATCTATATACGGCCTTAGTTCTTGGGTCTTGGGTTTAGCACATTAATTTAAGGTGTTAGGGTTTAGGCAGTTTAGGCTTTGGGCTCGATTGATTTTCGGTGTGGGGTCTAAGGGTTTCATGGGACTGGTCTTCGAAGACTAGGGTTTAGGGTTTAGGGTTTAGGGTTTAGGGTTTAGGGTTTAGGGCTGTAGTGTGCAGGGTCTGGGGGCCGTGTTTCTATCGAACACTGCAGTACACATTGAACGCGAACCCACCAATGATTTCACCACTGGGCCGCCGTTGCGGTCGATCTGGGCATACGCGGAGTTCACCACCTGGCCGGGAAGTTAAACCAACAGAGAAGACATGGAAAATTGAGGGTTTAGGCGAATGTTTAACGAGGGTCTAGGGCTGAAGAGGGTTGGGGTTTCAGGACTAAGATAAATTCAGGGGGCTTTTGGCTTTTTAGAGGCTTTAAAGGTACTATCTTCGGGGTTTCAAGCTTGGGAAGGAGTTTAGGGTTTAGGGTTTAGGGTGCCCTAGGGCAGACGAACAGCATCCAGGATCACCAGTCAGAGCATTGACCACAGCAGATGGTGACAGCGATACCAACCAGAGACCACAATGATGGCTTAGTGGCACCAGCAGTACTGTTGGTCACTAAAGGTCATCGCGATGCATGATACCACTTTCGGCGACAATGGCGTGATGATGATCATGACTACGAATGATGCTTGCAAGACAACTACCCACATGCCCATGCCAGCCATGCTCTCAACCGACGAAGCACTGAACTCCCCTAGCGCGCCAAAGACTTCTCGCCCCCAGATCGGGCAATGCCAGTTCCCAAAAACCCAAGAAGCCAAAACCTACACTTAAGTTGTGGGCAGGGGTTTGGGGTTTCGGGCTTGGGG